GTTAATCTAGACATTAATGTAGAAACTAGAAGTACCTACTTATAAGTCAAAAAAGCATGCATAAAAAATCAAAAAAGGAAAAAAAATATAGCTAAAAAGCTCACTACGTATTTTATTAATAGGTGACAGAGCTTCGTTCATTTTAGACCAATAGAAAAAAAAGCAAATGCTTACAAAATCCAAACTCTATTTATAACTTATACACCATAAACGAGTTTTTCATGTTCTTAAAGAAGTACAAAGAGTTAGTAATACCTACAACAATAATTGTCATATTATCGACTAAATTTGTATAAAAGCATTTACCTATAAAACAAATTATTATGCAATAAGTGGATTAATATGCAAAATTATGCATTCAATTCTGTATTGCTTATCGCTTTAAAATAATTACACAGTATGATTAAAAATATAGATGGCGATGAACTACGATGGCTCGCCTTACCAAATACCAATTCAAATATTTTAACATTTACATACAAGATATATGTATCAACTATCGATTACAATAAATTGTATAGACTTAATAAAAATCGAATTTAAATATCATAAGTTTAGGTAGGTAATTACTTTATTTAATAATCAGATATTTATTTAAAATATTTTAACTTAACATAAGTGTTATTTGTTTTAGTCTAATAATTGATCTACCGACTACCTATCCTATACCTATTTATAATTATAAACCTTATAGTTAGATACATTTCAAATATTTCGAGTTGTAATGAGTTTATTTCAAATTCAGTAAAATAATTTTCATAAATTGTATTAAAAGTGTAGTTATCCTTTTTATAGATGAAATTATTAATTAAAAAGTTACAATAGTTAGGTACAAKGGTAACATACAATGGTATCTACCTATATTAATGTAATYATTAATATTTTAAAGAAACGTACTTAATATAGTAATGTAGAGTAGATAAACTTTGTCCAATAGATTCGTAGAAACAATAATTTGTGCGATTAAGCCAGATAAGAATCTGCCAAATAATATGGATKCTTTCACTATACTGGTGATTTTTTGATATAACTGTTTGTCGTCGATCTTGGCGTATAAATATGTAGTGAATGCAACTTCTGAGGCATAAAAAAATCCAAAGAAAATCTGTCCAATCTATAGTATTAAATTGAAAAATTATTTTTATTTGATTTTAATTGGTGCTGGTTTGTAAAGTAATTACTATTTTGATGTAACTAATGCGATAATATATCAATATAATATATAKATAGATATGCAGTGGCGTACGCAGGGGAATGGTTCTAGGGTTCTGGAACTCCCTGAAGTTTTTTTCCTTTTACGAAAAATCTTATCTACTAACATTTCAATACACTGAGTCGATTAATTGTTGGTAATTTTTAATAGATATAAAATAGATTGTTAATTTATTATTAGTTATAATTTGTTATAACTAATTATATAAAAACTATTTTGCAAAAAATAATGTAAATTATTTACTCATGTAAAAACCTAATTGAACTAAAATCCTGAGTACGCTACTAACTGAAGGTATAAATGCATAGATTTATTAAAAATCTCACTTGAACTCTGAATAAACTTGGTGTTCCTAACATTAAGACGTATGAAACGATTCCGGAAATTCCATCTGCAATGATCAACGGTTTGTACCGAAAATAATCCGTTATTAAGAATACTACAATGGCTAATACAAGACACGAGTAAGTCCCCACAACATAAATCTCTTCGTTGATCTAAATGAAAATTACAACAATAAAATACGGATAAAATTAACCATAAAAGTAAAATATTATTTGTTAAGTATATTATAAATATTAAGTAATATAATTATAATTTTTGTATACAAGATATCTAGATGATCTGAACTAATACGTATAAGGTATAGCGACTAACAAATATTAAGAAAATTCATACCATTAATATTTATTTTACATTCATATTTTTTTAATTAAGTTTTGAACCAACCTAATTTCATACCTAATATTTAAAAAAAATTTTTTAATGTATTATTTATATTCAAAATATAATATATAAATTGGATTAAATATCGATAAAATAAACAATAATTAATTTTAAATATCAGTAATTTTACTTTTATTTTTACGTATGCAAAATAAAAAATAATAATATAAATATATATATAATTTATGTACTTTATTGTATGTTTAAAATAATTTAATATCTGTGTTTTTGATTTCGAAAAAATAATTTACCGGAAAGTAAAATTAATTTTTTATGAGCATATTATGAAGTCCAAGTTTTTACGATATGTATTATGTACTAGATATTCATTCATAGTTTAATAATCTCTGACTGAGCAATTTTCTTATTTTTTAGTAATTAAAAAACGAATAACCGTAGACACTTTATTTTCATGGAATATTTGTTTAATAATTGTTATATTTTCAAAATATTTTGATTTTTTTTAGCTATTTTAAAGTCATTTGAACTTTTTATTTTTTTTCTGTAAATGTAAATGTCAAAAAAAATTTTTT